GGCTCTGCAAGGGTAACGTCCAGGGGAGTGGCTTTTGGGGGGCATGGGGGCTTCCCACACCCCAATCCCCTGCAGGGCCACCGTCTTGTGTATTAAGAGCACAGTGACTTGGGCTGCTGTGGCCAGAGCCGACCACTTCCTGGCTCCCATGGACACAAGGACCCCTGAGCTGCCATGGGGCCAGGGTGGGGTGCAGCGGAGCAGGAGGAAGCCTCACCCCAGGCCTCCTGATGGCTGGGGCTCTGGTCTCTCGCTGTCCTCCACCAGCAGGGGACAGGGGACCTGGGCCAGCCGTCCTCCCTTGTTCCCCATTTTGTCTGTTCTGGGTTTGCTTTGAGTCTGTAGAGAACAGAGGCCTCACCCTGTCTTCCCTCTCCTGCTCCCCACTTCCCGTCCCAGCACAGCCTCCTAAGCTTTGTCCCTACTCGCCTTTCGAAAACAGATCTGCTCTTCCAAACTTCTGCTACGCTGCAGCCCCAAATCTCAACTACCCCAAAACCTCCGGGGCCTCCACTGCCTTCAGAATGGAACGTCCACCCTTCAGGGGCACTCGGGGCTCCTTCCCCGGAGCCCAGGGCTGACGGCATCAACTGTCCTGGGTGCCTCAGAGGCCTTTGTGAAAACAGAGACACCCACAGCGCGCTGCTTCACACAGGTGGCGAGGAGCAGGCTGCAAAGCCTGATCCGGCCCTCCCCAGGCAGGGCAGGGAGGCCGACGGTGGCGGCTGGCTGCAGCAGAGGCCTGAGCTTGTCACGTAACTAATGTTCCTCCCACGTGAGCCAGACACACAGACTGAGGAAACACTCAGGTTTGCTGTTCCAGCCTCAGCTGCTTCAAAAAATATATATTAATTTGCTGTCATGGCGGCAGGAATTTCTTGACAGAAGCTGCCTCTGAGGTTAATGAGGATAATGGGCCGATTCTGGGGGTGCCCAGGTTCTCGCAGTCGGAAAATACAGGCCGTTGTCACTGGTGAGGTTTCACTGAAAAATGTACACGTGTTGTCTTTGAGGGTGTTTACTTAAGTAAAGACTTACGTTTCCACGGCTTCTGGACATTTATTTTATAGGAAAAGATCTTTAAAGCCTCTCCAACTCATTTCCCCACCTGCCAACTTGGCTGGCCAGCCCTGCTCGTTATGCCTGCGGAGCCAGAAGAACGTCTCCATGTTCCGGCTTCTTAGAACCGACAAAAATGCGCTCAGCGTTGCGTCTGTGACTTGAGAAGGCTGTTTCTGCCGTCCCACCCAGGGCTCCTTCTAACCCTGTCTGGGTGGCTCCAGCCCGTGGGATCTGGGACTTGCTTTAGTCGTTGGAGCTCGGGACGACCAGTTAGCATCCCGCCCATTCCAGGCGTTTCCCGCGGCAGCGGCCTTCCCAGAAAAGCTTCCAGAAGGAACCAGACTGCTCCATACCTGCCAAGGAAGCGGAGGCTGGAAAAACGCTGCAGCTCCAAAAAGACTGTTTTGGAGAAGAACCTAAAAAAGCTCCCTTCTCCCCTTTCTTACACTAGGAAGCTGGAGTGGGGGAGGTTTGGGAACCGGAATTCTCCGCTCCCCAAAGCAGCCCAGACGTGAAAATTGCGCTGCAGATGAGCAAGACCCCCACGTGGGGAGCACAGACCCCAGGGCCCCCGAGAGCTCCTCCCAAGCCACTGATACCCGTAGCAGCTCCCGGCAGTGCAGACACATTCCTGCTTCTCCTGCAGGCGCCACTGGAGAGCCACGCCCCAGCGGTCTTGCTTTGAACTACAGGAGAAGGGGCTGGATTTCAAAGGGGCTAGGACCGAGTTCTTGGCCCCTGTAGGCTCTTAGCCTGTCCTCTTGTTGGCTCTGCAGGAGGAGCTGGCATTCCCTGGGGTTCTGCTTGAGTGAGCTTCAGTGTGCCCCTGGGGTGGAGCTCTGGGGTGGGCCTTCCTGGGTTCTCACTGACCATGTGCTGATTAATAGGTTTTTCTCCTTAAACAAAGTGTCCCACCAGAAGTCCTATGTTTCCTGGCTCCAATGTTTCCTGGCTCTTTGGCAGGGACCCCTCCTAGCCAAGCAGGCCCCACACTGTCAACTCCAGGAGCAAATGGACCCTGCCCTTCAGTTTGGCAAGGCTGTGTGCGTGGCTCCACGTGGCTGCCCTGGTGAGGTGGTTGGTGAACATATGGTGGGTGGAAAATCAGAGACACTGTTACGGGTCTAAAACACCGGTTCAGACAGTGCCACGTGGGCTAACAGAGGTGCACACAGCCGGCCTCCTTCTAACTATATTCCTTTCGTGTGTGTGAGAAAACAGTAAGTGTGTTAAACACGTATCAACTACCAGGTGGGGCTGCATCTATAATTAGGGAGTCTCGGGTGACAAATGGGTGTCATGTCACCTACAGATACGTGGGCTCAGGCCGGCTGGCAAGACCGAGGTAGTGAGCCGGGCCGACAGAGACGCCCTCATGGAAATATGGCCCTCACGGAGACACCCCCCGCGGCCCTGCCGCATGGGCTCTGTCCCGCCCGCTCTGTTTTGGGTGGATGACCCTGTCTGCGCATGACGAGCTAAGAAAATTATTAGGTCCAAGCAAAAAGAAGATGCGTACACCTTTGCTGAAAAATCGCACATGAATACAGTCGTGCCGGTCTCCCTCCAGGCTGTAATGTCACCGAAACTGGGGGCTAAGGAGCTGCCAGTGCCAAGTAGAGGCTGAGGCTCAAGGACGACCAAGTGCAAAGTCATGTCTGGACGGACATGCTGTCAGCCAGAGCCCTTCCCCGTGGGCAGGCAGGCCCGGGCGACCCTCACGCGCGACCCACACAGGCATGATCTAAGCAGCCATGTCTCTGCGGTGTCCTAAAGCTGAACTGGCAGCGCCAGGAACGTGAGGTGCCTGGGGCTGTGGTGCTGGGTCCATTGGCCACCAGTCCCTGGCCTGACAACAAAGCGCTACCCACCCAGACCTGAGCTCTCCACTCCCCAAATCGTGTCAGTCACGGGGGTTTCCTGGGTGCACTGGGCAGATGGCCCCCACCATTGGGTCCCAATCCTGAGGGGGAATCGCAGAGACCGAGTTGGGGCCACTTGCAGACAACAGATGGCATCCTAGCTTCTACCAAGATGGTTCCTGGCTGTGGGCTTGGCCAGAGATGCCATCCCTCCTCCCGGGCCTCATGATGGTGGCGGGAGGAAGACGCTGGAGGCCAGAAGCCTGAACTGCTCCTTCCAGCTGCCCACCAAGGACAGAGGCCTTGAGGACTGTGCTACACCCCTGCAGAGCACATGACCCACCCACACATGATCCAGAGCACACATGATCCCCACAGGCATGATCCACACATGCATCATCCACACAAGTATGATCAACACGCTGGTGTGGCCCACACTGGCATATCTGAGCAGCACACAATCCACAGACATGCATGATCTGTGCCTGTATGGTCAACGGACACAATGATCCATACATGCGTGATCCTCACATGTGCATGGCCCACCCATATATGTGGTCCGTGCACACACATGGTCCATGCATGTGGATCATAAGCAGCCATCTTGCCATAAATGTCAATTTCTATAAAAGCTTTTATCACTTTCCAACTGTTGTAGCAAGTTCTGTAATTTAAGAAAGTGTTGAGATTTGGCAGATGTAGAGAAAGAAGACACTAGTTAAACTTGGATTTCAGATAACAACAAAGACATTTTTGGTATAAGTGTGTCCCCAAATATTTCTTTATACCAAAAAAAAAAAAAAAGACTTTATCTGAAGTCCAAGTTCAACAACATATTCTGTACTTTTATTCGGTTACCTGGCAACGGCAGCTCCTTCCACCCAAGAAACTTGAGACTGTTTCACATTTTTGTATTATCAATTAATGCCCATCAACATTTTAAGCAGGTGTCTTTCCTTTGTAAGGCAGTACACTTTTTCTGTATCTATCACATTGTTTCTAATTGTGCTGATTAGTGGCACAATGAAGCTGTTTTGAATACCTTGAGTTTTTCTCCCAGAAAACATCATCACCACCCCCAGGACTGATTTGTTCTTTGCACACTCAATCCACAACAGTCCCCAGGACACAGGAATGTCCTACAAGTACAGGTTGTGCCTTGGCATCCTCGAGGCAAACTCCCAGAGTTTCCACACGCTCACTGTCATGGGGGAGCCTCCAGGACACACACTGGGGGTGTAAATTATAGTGTCGGTGTCGCTCCCCAAAAAGGTGGCTGCTGCAGCCGTCAGAGCTGCAGGGGATTTTCACAATCCCAGCTGTTCTTTTTTTAAAAAAATCTGTGTTCTATTATGAAAAATAATTTAAAAGTAGTTCCACACGACAGAAGGACTAAGCCATTTGTGTGTTCTCTCGAAAGAGCCCAAGTCCCAATAGATTTTATCACTTTCCAAGTGTTCCGACAAGTTTTGGAATCCAGGAAAGTCATGTACATCTGGCAGCTAAAACTCACCAACGTGTTTAATTTAATCGCTCATAGTTCACATACTTTTATTCTTTTACATCACAGAAGACTCAAGTCAAACGTGTTAAAATATAAAACTACACTACAACTCATCACAAGCTTTTTTTTTTTAAGATGCAGTAAACTGTTTCTACCAACAGTCAATTCACAAAATGAGAACGTTGATGACAAATAGGAATACAGAAAAACACCCAGCGCTCATGTAAAATGATCTGGAAGTTGTCTCTCTGGAAATGTAACAAGCTCTGTGTGTTTGAAAAAGCACTTTCAACAGATGCAGCCACAGCTGGACCCGCATCAGAATTGCTGCATCAAAGCTGATTTGTATTTTATCTTCTTAAGAAACACCTAAATCTATTAAATTACATTAAGTGTTAAGACAGAAAATTCCCTCTTCATCCGACCATACATTTCGTAACTTAAAACATCATCATCAAGGGTTCACTTCATAAGGATGAAGTTGCCATTCAAGTAGACAAAGACAAACTCAAAGACAAGAATACGAATGCAGCCATCCAAGCACCAAAGGGAAAAAACTCCAGAGAACTGACCTTTGAGTGGCCACTCCTCATCGGGTCCCAAAGGTCGCCATTCACAGGCCAGATGCGGACAGCTTCCTCAGCTCTTCCCCTGTCCCTCGCTGCGGCCTCTTGCGTGGAAGGTGCCAATCTACTTGCCAGGTTCGCCCCTGCGTCAAAGAGAAAACAGCTTGTTCTTCCACCAGGTCAGCAAGACTTTGGTGTCAGCGCTTATGACTAAAGGACCCAGTGCCAATATCTGCAAGTGGACAAAGGCCAGGGACACACCTTAATCTATTAAATCACAGTAACTGTTACAACGGAAACATTCTCTCCATCCGACCATACAATTTTGTAACTTGAAGAAAACATCATCGTCAAAGTATGTAGTTCTGCCCTTCAACCAGCAACCAAAGAGCACAGTGAGTCTTTAACTGATGAATTAATTCTTTGCTTAGGATCAGCTCTATGGAGCCTCCCTGGTGGCGCAGGGGTTAAAGACAGCGCAATCAGGCTATGGCCAGTCACTGCAACATAAGTTCAATCCCCGGCCAGGGAGCAACCCACACGGTGCAGCAGACCTCTCCTGTCTCCCCGCTGTTCCCCTCAGCAGTGGATTTCAGCAGATCTGCCTTTTCTACTCCCCACTCTCTCTGGTGAATCCTCTCAAACCCTGCACCTCTGGCCTGCACCCCAGCTCTTGTATGCATGAATAAATAAATCTTTTAAAAAAAAATCAGCTCTATCAAAAGTCTCAAGGCTTTAGCTGAATTAAGACTAAACCCATTTACCTGAGTCACAGCGAATTTGTTACATGCAATGCCAATTCTCCCTCAGTATTTACGGAAGCTAATTTTATATGCTCCAGGGGCTGATTTGATAGACAAAATTAATTTGCCAAGTTCATCCTGACTAGACCGGCTTATGTAAGAAAAGATTGTCATTCAATAAACTCCTAGACACCCTCGTTTCTTGGGTCCTGTCTATAGAATCAGCCAACACATCCGCACGGGTTCAGTGTTGCCCCCTTGCCACAAACATTCCCGACGGAGAGTGGGGCATTTTTCTCTCCTGGAGAGTGCATCACTTTCTTAACAAAGTCAGGAATTTCTCTGGGCCTGTGCTCCGTGAGTTCGTGCTCCCGTGAGGTCACGCTCCTGTGAGGTCACGCTCCTGTGAGGTCACACTCCTTGAGGACACCCTCCCGCTCTTTGCTGTGACCACAGGATGCCCCTCACGGCGAGGATGGGAACAGACTCATTCGTGTGTTATTCTCATTTCTTCGACCAGGACTCATAATTTTCAGGCCTGAGTCATCATAACGCAGTTTTAGGTTTCCAAAAAGTTCACGTTTATTGGGCACAAATGCTATTGAAATTTTAATCCTAGACATTTTACAGTTCCCGGTACACTTTTCAATCCACACCATTTTATCATCTTCGATGTGGAAGTCTGCAGTTCTATTCAGATTACAAAGGGATTACTACTCGGGGATCAGCAGTCTGACAGACTCTGGAGATCGCTCAGGCTGCTCTCGGAGCACGGAAGACGCCCAGTCGTGAAGGCCGAGGAGCTTGAGGCAGGGGGTGGGAATATGGCGGGTGGCAGAGGGGAAGAGAGAAGCGTGAGCACTGGGAGCCAGGGGAGGCCTGTGGGGTTGGGGCTGCAAGTTCGGCCTTTGGGTGTGAACCCCTGTTGGGGAGATGAGGCGCTTCCACTGTGCAAGTGTAGCAGTGGCTGAACCAAGGACTGTTACAGGTGGTGCCCCCTGGAGGGGGCTGCTGGGGAGGACAGACAGCCCCAGGGAAAATGCTAGAAAGTGTCGCATTTTGAGGTGGGGCCACAGGTAAGAAATAGAAGTGACTGCAGAGGGGGCAGATGGATTCAGTCTTCAGGAGTTCAGCCGTTTTCGGATCTTCAGCATTTGGGGTCAGCAGATTTGGGCCCCCACCGCGCCGATCTTCCAGAGGCTGTTGCAGGCCTCTGAAGCGGGAGGCCTCCCGCAGCCAGCCTTGGAGAGGAAGCGTTCAGAGGGTTTGCAAGTAGCTGGGGGGCTGAAACTGTTCCTGGTTTTGCTGCTGTTACAGCCTGGCAGGGAAGGCCAGACCCGGAGCCGGGAGCCTCGCTGGGCTGCGTGGGGCTGCGCTGGGGCGTCCCTGCAACTCTGGGGGCGTCTCCTGCTGTCTCTGCGAGTCGGAACCTGGCCTGGGTCTGGCTCCCGCATGCTCCAGGTAGGCAGAGGCAGGAGTCGCCATCTTGGGCACGTGGGCTATTGTTCAGGAGAGGAGCTGTGTGTCCTCAGTGGCCAGAAGACACCATTTTAACTGTTTTTGTGCAGGACTGAGAAATACTGGACGCAGGTTTGGGTAAGATAAAGGCCAATACTGGCCTCAATAACTCCTTTTTTCCCTGGCTTGTGAAAAAAATCCCTTTGCTGTTCCATGAGCCCGAGTAGTCTTGCAATTGTGCACGGGTGAAGAACTCACAGTGATCGGAAAACTATTCGGGCAGTATCTGCAGCCAGTTTAGTGCTCCTGTCCCTGCCCTGTGTCACAAGCAGAGGGCCTGTCCGGGTGGCGGGTATGGTAGAGGCCGGTTGGAGGTGGGGGAATGGGCGATGTGCACACGTCAGGGGGTCTTCCCCAGGATGCAGAGGGGGCACCTGTTGGCAGCGTGGAGAACCTGAGCACATGAGCCTCACCGGGTGGCTGGACCCACGCCCCGAGTGTGCACCAAGGCCGTGCAGCCTGCCCACCAGAGGCCCTTCAGAGTCAGACACAGCCAGCCCAGCACCCAGCCGACCAAGGGTCAGCTGAGGGCTCCTGGTCCAGGGGTTCATTCCCCGACTCCCTCAGTAACTCCTGCTGACTGCCTGCCCTGTGACAGCACCTCCAAACCCTGCGTCTTCACGCAAGAGGCCCCTCCTTTCCACGTCTGGCCGCTAAGCCCTCATGTTGGCCCTCTCTGACTCCACTGCCCGGACCTGTCTCGCTTTCTCCACCCTGTGCACTGAGGGACACAGACAAAGCTGCTCTCGGGACTCATGCTCCTATAGTGGGAGAGAAATGACGAAAGAGCCGGACCATGCAGAAAGCTGGAAGGACCACGGAACAGGACTATCCTTCCAAGTTTCCTGTAAATCAAAAATGTTTTCAGAATTAAGAGTGACTAAAGAAGCAGGATGAGTGGAGGAGCAGAGAGGGTGCCCTCGGGGACAGGCCGGGGAGGCTTTTATTTGCCGAGCTGGGGCACTAAGCTGGGACGTGAGATCAAAAGCACCGGCCCCTGCAGCGCAACCATCCCACACCGGTAGGTCCATTACTGGTTCTAGCAGCCGTGTCGGTGTCTCCATGCTCTCCGCTGTCGCCGCGCTCGGTCGCCTCTGCCACTCTCCGTTGCGCTCCTCCACACTCCCTCCGCACACCTCCGTCCACCCCTGCACCGCTCCGTCCACCCCCTGCACCGCTCCATCCACCCCTGCACCACTCCGTCCACCCCTGCACCCCTCCGTCCACTCCTGCACACCTCTGTCCACCCCTGCACCCCTCCGTCCACCCCTGCACCGCTCCGTCCACCCTCTGCACTCCTCTGCGCCACACCACACCCCCCGCACCTCCGCGCCACGCCCCTTAGCCAAGTGCGCGTGCATGGTGGGAGGGGGGCCAAGCCTGCTCCCCTCACCCCACAGCCCCACGTGGGGCCCCGGAGGGCCACGGCGGGGCAGCCAGCACCGGCTCCCATAAATGAGGCAGACGTGGGAAGCCTTGGAGATGATGAAACAAAGACCATCCGCTGGATTTCTGAGCTTCGGTCTCCGAGCTCTGCCCAAACCCAGGGCTCCTGCTCAGGACCTCGGTGAGTTCGCAAGTTGGCGTCACTGAAGTCCAGTGAGTGCTGAGCCATCCCCAGCGCCTGCCAAGCAGGACTGCAGCCTGCCATAACCTGTACTTCGCAGAGAGCGGGTGTGTTACTTGAATCCGATGGAGAAGATTCTGAAACACCAGCAATTAGGGAGCAAGCCCTGGAGAGGCATCTGAATCCCCTTCAGCTGGCGGAAACCATCCCATGTGCCAACAGTTAGCACAGCCGTTATCTTAATCTTTTGAAATGTTACCTAAAATTGTTAACAAAGTGAGTGCAAGCATTTAAAAATTTCCTTTACACAAACTGATTTGATTAGAAGCTACTCCTGGCAGTTGTGGCAGCTGAGTTTTCAACACAAGGGAATCGTTCAATTGAGTGGTTCATGGAAAAGCCAATTATCCAAGGGTCTGTTAAAGTAGACAGAGAAAGTTCTAAACTGGAGTCCAGTGTCACCCACTGCCCGGCCGCAGAGGGGAAAGACAGATAATTTCTGGGGGTATCCAGACTCAGAGGCCTGGAAGACGTCCACCCCAGCCTCAGACACGTGGGAGAAAGTCTTAGCATTTAAGACAAGTTGCGTGAGAAGCTGAAAATCTCCGAAGGAAGATGGCGCCATGTGTGGGTCGTCCAACCGTCAGCCAGCCTCTGCCAGCAGGGGGCTCTAGAAGAGGCAGCAACTCCCTACCCTCGACTTTGTGGAGGCTGGGGAGGCCTTTGTGGGGTCACCCACAAACCAAATACACAGGATTCCCAGGCCTCAGACTTTTTCTTCCAAGGCTCTTAGAGCAGAGAAGCATGAGTGACTCTTCTGACAGCAAAATATTGCAGCCACGAACGTTTTCCTTCTCATCTACATACTCCAGCATCTTAGTCCAAAGGAAGCCCTTTTTGGCTGAATTATTTTTTCCTCTTAGAGGTTTAATTTGTAAATATTCCAAGGAGAATTGAGAGGCAGACAGAGCCAGCTCTTGTAGAGTGTTGTGCAACCTTCTTAAGAAATTGAGTAACCGCACTATTTGCTGAGTCGGGTATTTATTATCTGTGTACACAGATAATGAAGCCATCACTCAGCTTTTTAATTGGTTGCACAATATCCCCCCAGCAGTATCTGCAGTCAGAAGATTGTTTCTTATCAGCTTGGCTTATGTATTTAAACTGGTATTTCTTTTAGATGATGCAAATAAAAATTTTATTTGTGCTGCATGGATAGACAGAATAACTTACACGCAGCTGTGAGATATCAGAATGTATTTTATGGAGTGGTCTTGTTGACAAACCATAAAAGCGCATCTTGAATGATGCATAC